AGTTCCAACATCTCAACAGACAACTCTCATACTGAAGTACAAACAAATGAATGCTCTCCGTTCTCATCTTTCTGGATACAAAGTGCAAAATACTATATTCTAAAAAAAATGTATGGGTAACTTGGCATGTTGGAAATGGTTCAATAACTCTGATGCAAGTGCTCCTCTGTTCTTTTATAGACCAGAGAAATATCCAGCACATCACACATGGACAATTACTGCACCCTCATTTAATTTTTTTTTTTTTTTTTTGGTAAGAGGAAACAAGCAACTTTGGACAACACCCACTTATTAAGAAAAGTGTAAGGCAAAAGTAGTCAGTCAAAGCTACTGACTTTGTAGCTGAAACAATGGTCTCATTTTCAAATTAAATTTTATAGCTGTAAGTCAGAATTAAGTTCTCTAACTTAATATAGAAATATTTAGCAAGTATCAACAAGGAACTGCATTGATATAAAAAAGTCACAATGTGGGTACAGCAAATTATCTACTAGTGACCAAAGACTGCAGAAGTGTCTTGTATAATGTCCTTCCACATTTGACATAGGAAAAGAACTGGGGCACCAGTTATAAGACTATATAGCATTTTACACATTATACTTCTTGAGAAGGTCATCACTATAGCTTGTTGCAGCAAAAAATAACAAAAAGGAGTATGGTACTTTAAAAATCAATACACTTATTATGGCATCAATTTTTATGTAATAAATACCACTTCATTAGATGCACGGAATGTTATCTTCAGTTGACAGCACAGAGTTAACTTCAGAGGTAAGGAAAAGTAAGAAACGCAGCCTGTGATATTTGCATTAAAATTTAAATATAGTTACAGTGACCATTCACAGAACACAGGTAACAATACATACAGTAGGGCAAGAGTTAGCTAATTAACACTGCTAATGGAGATTAGCTCAATTCAGGTTCTTTTTTTTTTTAATTATTTATAGAATTCTATGGCTGCCTATCTCATATAATGATTCTAGGCAGCTTAAAACAATCAATAAAAACCAAGATAAAAACAAAAATACCCTTCCCCCAGATGCCAGACCAAACAGCCTCCCAGCTCAACCCCCATCCTAGCCCAATGCTTGGGGGAAGAGCCAGGTCTTCATGGCCTTCTGTAGGGTTAAAGGGTGGAGATCCATAGGATCTCAGGTGGGAGGCTGTTCCAAAGGTCTGGGGTGGCCACTGAGAAGGCCTGCATCAGGTGACATTTAAGGGAGAGGATCTGGAACTTGCTCCCCTATCTAACCTAGTAGGATGGAGAGATACCCTTAGGGAGAGGCAGTCCTGAAAATAACCTGGCCCCATGCCATGTAGAGCTTTAAAAGTTATAACCAGCACCTTGAATTGCACCCAGAAAGCAACTGGGAGACAGTGTAGCACATGCAGCAGCACTGTAACTCAGGTGAATCGTGAGGCACCCAAAACTGTGCATGCTACTGATTTCTGGACCAACTGCAGCTTCCAGATGGTCTTCAAGGGCAGCCCCATGCAGAATGTGCTGCAGTAATCCAAACAGGAGGTGACTAAGGCATGAGTGATCATGAGCAAGGCCTCCCAGTCCAGGAATGGATGCAATTGGCACACAAGATGAATTTATACAAAAGGCCTCCTGGCCACAGCTGCCACCTGCTCTTCCAGCAGGAGCTGCTAGTCCAGGAGGACCCCCAAATTGCATAGCAGATCCGAATGGGGGAGTGTTACCCCATCCAGAGTTAGAGATGTCAATTCTTCTGACCTTGGGGGACCAAACACCCATAACCACTCTGTCTTGCCAGAGTTGAGTCGTAGCCAAGCACTTATAGCCTCCAGGCTCTGAGTCAGCACCTGAACAGCATCACTTGCCCAGCATGGAGTAGAGAGGTATACTAAAGGTTATAGATTATAGAATTTTTAATTTAAAAATTTCACACTATAGTTTCCCTTTGAAACATGTTTGATGAACAACAGTTGTGCTAAGCTGAATAGCAGAGTGACCTGTGCAGTTAAAATGTTCTTATGCTGATTTCTAAATATTGACCTGTCCAATGTCAAATCTCTGCCCATATGTTATTTTGTGTTTTCCCTATACAGTACAGAAAAACACTACTGGCAAAATGCAACATATATCAACTTTGGAAGATGAGAAGACAGACCGACTCTTGATATAATTGCTTATTTTACTAGATCCCATAACTACGTTACCTCAATAGATTATTTTCTGTGGAACAATGGAAACAATGTCATACCCAACAACTATAGAGCGTATTGTGCTAATGTACAGTGGTGCTTAAAAGTATATGTGTCTGTGTGTGTCTGTCTCTGTGTGTGTGCCTCAGTGTTTCTCTGTGTGTATGTATGTATGTATGTGTATGTGTATATACATATACATATATATATTCTCTTAATAAAAATATAGAAATGATATTCTTTTAAGAATTTTGATTTAATAGTAAATTCTAATACAAACTAAACTTAAAGAAAATAGAGAATGAAAAAGTGCAAGAAAAAAGAAAGAAAAAAAGAAAGAGAAAAGAATATAATAAAGAAGGAGAAAAGGAATATATAAAGAAGTGACTTTCAACCTTCATCACAAGCATAAGCAAATTTAGTAACTCTTTACCCTCTCTAGAGTTACCCACAATTATCTCTTCATCCCACAACCCATTTCTTATCCATAAACAAATCCGTAAAGCATCATATTTTCAGTCCTGGTGTCAGCAGAAAGTCCAAAAAGGGTAGCCAGAAGTAACAACTTATCTTGTTTTAACCTTGATTAAATAAACCAACTTTATATTCCCTCCTTTTACTTTTAACAGTCTTAATCTTTAGTTCATTCAAAT